AATTCATTTTAATGGTGTTTTAGGGGATGGCCTCACCCAACCATCCCCCACCCGAAAGCTGATAAACATAACCAAATGTAGAGTTTAATCGTATGTGCAAGGTCGTCGAGTGGGGGGAGCTGGATATTTTTCCCAAAGGAAACTTAAGGACTCCCTAATGATTTCTATCCTTATAAAATTAATGCTATTTTTTTAAACAGAAAATAAGATTGTTAAAAGATCCGTTACTTTTTAGCGGATCTTTTATCTTAAAGAATTTCATTACTTTTATGAAATTTTAAAGATAGGTAGCAATAGCACATTCGTCGTTTACTATCGTAAAATATAAAATATTTCCATATTACACTACTAAACTTTTTTGTCGACATTGTTTTTATTTTAATTTAACTCAACACTCTCCAAAAACACAAACGTAATCTATGCTATCCCGTGTCACACTAGCCACAAATCAGTGTTTCCCAACGTGGGGCCCACGCCCCACAGGGGGCAATTGAATTGCTAAGGAGGGCAATTCGAAAATGGACTTGTCCAGAGTTTAAGTTAACCGTATAGCCGCTGTATATGTTAGGGAGACATAAGAATTTTAGAAAGGCTTAGGTGGGGCATAGCACAAAAAAGGTTGGGAAACACTGCACTAAACTATTGTGGCGGTACGCTATATTTTTGTAAATATTAATTTTAGTTTAGTTTCGTTTCTTCTTTCTACCCTTTGTTCTATTGTTCTATTTTCTTCTAGAACTTTCTTATCTATTCCCTGTCCCTTGGGTGGGATGAGCAGTTCCTAGAAATTTGAGGAGCAAAGGTGTAAACAGGAGCCGGAGAAAAAAGAGAAGTGACGTAGCAGGTCATTCGTAAACCGGACGGCAGAGTGTACGGACGAGGTGAGAATACTGGGAGTCGTATTTTCAATGACCGGATAGTTCAGAAATAAGTTCAGAAAAAAGATCCTGTTTTAAGGTCGTATTGACGACTGTGGAAGGAAAAATCCTAATTATTGAAGAAGAGAACTGGCCAGTTATAGGAGAAGGACGTGTGTTATCCCACCCAACAGTACGCATAAAGAAACAAGCCGAAAAAAGGGACAAAACCCCAGATATCCCTATTTCTATCTTATCTACCATTTTTTCTGTCTTCTTAATTCTATCCCTTTTTCTGTTATTAGTGTTAAGTTAGTGTTTAAGGTTAGTTTTAAGGTTCCGGGTTATATTGTCGCGATCGGGATCTGTATTGTACACGTGCTTTGGATACAGCGAACTATTATTATCGCTGTAATTTCGCATGCTACTGTTTGCACCGTGAAGTTGGAATTCCCCGAAATAGAATCTGTATAAAGACGCGAAATAGCTTAATTGGAAAATTATATCAACTTTTGTTACTTTATCCTGTCTGCCTTTGTGGTGAATTCTAATTTAGCACACTTTCACACTATAAACAAAAACACGCGCAGTGCAAGTCAAAACACGTCGCGTTATTAACGCAAAGCGTCAACTATCGGTCCGTGGTCACACGTACTGAGTACGAAAGTAGAGATCCGTATCCGCGGATCTAGACACTAATGATCCGTATCCGCGGATATACATTTTTAACGATCCGGCACATCTCTAATAGAGAGGGTGAAGTCACATCTACCTCGCACACGCGAAAAACAGCCAATGAAAGAATTTTTTTTAATTTAAAATATATATATATTAAAATAATTTTCTATCGCTACTAGCGACGTTAAAACACTGAATGAAGATAAAAATATTTTCCACGAATCATCGTTATAAATAACATAAAATCCAAATAAAGATACTCTATAGTATTCAGGACGGGCTGAATAAATTATTTTAATAATATTCTGTTTAATTTCTCAAGTAATCCATATAATTGAAAGTTAGGTTATTTAAACGATTAAATTTTATTTTGATTTCGTAACATTTTACGTAAAAATTAAGTCGTACGTAATGCTATATATAGCTTTGGACCTTGCAGTATTTTGACCCGGTTTTAATCTCAGATGACCTATATAGTAACTGAATTATCAACTGTTTCCTAATGGGAACAAATTCAAAAGGAATGAAAGTGTTTAACTAAATTTTGAAACTATTGAATGAACCTATCCTTTAATTAAATAAAGTATATTATTTCCAGATATCCTGTGTCTAGTCCCCCCTCTTTATTATGCAAAACAATGGATTTAACATCAATATTGTGGTTCGATAGGAGACGAAATAACAATGAATTATCGAACTGTAAACAATATCGACTGATTATTCACCCTGTATAAGAAAATGGATTCGTTAATGTAATATAAATGAAGCCTTCGTGAGCTTAAATGGGGACCCTGGGGTAAAGAGGTTCTTTTGCATTGTTTAGTTTAGATAAATGAAGTATATAAAATGTTTTATTTTATTCTTTGCTAGTAAAAGTAACACAAATTTATACGGATAAGAACTACTAAGGGCCCCTGGTTAGGGCCTGGAGAAAAAAATTTCAGCTCCCCTCGAGGGCCCTGTATATAAAATATTCAACCTTATTTTAAAAATGAGATTTCGAATTAATAAAGCATTGCGCAACCTATTTTCAACGTATCAGTAATTAAAAAAAAAGAAATAAAAACTGGATTTAGTAACATTTATTCGCAAGCAAAGGAAGAATACGTCTGACAGAAATGTAATAAATTAACATCTGTGAAACTTATTATTGCGGAGATTAATTTTTATAACATAAATTAAGCATTTAATATATATAGATATAAACGATCAATTACTTATTGTGGCATAGTCACAATGCCGGGATGCAATATTTTAATTTAAAAAATCACGTGACTCCCCGTCCAGACCGGAAGTCACGTGAAGCCAGCCTTTCATATCCGGTCTCGATTTTCATCTATCTAATTCTTCTCTAGATTAACGAAAGTAGAAATCGATTTTATAACAAGACACGCTTCGGGCCATACGAGGCCTTCTTTATACGAAAAATTAAGTAAAAACGTTAGCAAAAAGCATTTTTGTTTACGCTTCTCGTAATAAACGTAAGTATACGGTATTTTTTCCATCGTTGGATATAAAAACAAAAGCCGACACTACGTTTTCTATCCCCAAACGGTTATTGCTGTTGCGGTTTAAGTACTGTATCTACTGCAATATATCGATGCAGGTGTCGTTACAAAACGTTAGTAACCTTGACCTATATGGCGGATAGAAGGATCAATATACAATTATTGATCATTAGAAGAAAATTAATTCAGATTGACTCAAATATTTCATAAATTATATCAAAACATTAAATATTTACTGTCGTTTCCAATCTGTTTACCAGGCAGTATAAAAATAAATAATGTATTTCAAAATGTATTTTGCAAGATTTTAAACGAATATTATTCTGTTTTCGTCAGCTTTTCCTTTTAATTATTTTACTAATTTATTTTCTTAATAAACACACTTCCATTTAACTCGCTTTGTTTAGTGAGTGACCTCAAATCTTGCGACTGACATTTCATCCACTCTTAATTAATTAATACAGAAGGATGAAATCTAATAACCATGACAAGATATTTTAGTAATGTTTTAAGGTGAACCCAACCCACAAACACTACAAATGAGGGGTTGGGTTGGTGAGGAATGCTCTCAATTTCAAACCATCTCCTTTCAATCTTAGCCAGTAAAAGCGTGTCTTTTTAATACAATTATACAATTTAAATACTGTATAATTTAATAAATATATATATTTTTTTTTTTCTAGAAAGTCATGCTTTGTACAGACAATAAAAATGCATTTTAATGGCAAATTTCTTGCATTATTTAAATGACTAAATGCATTCGTGCAAATCATAAAATACCTCTACGTATTTTCTAAAAGATAGCATTGTTAAAATTATTTATAAGCCGTATAAATAAAGCTTGCGAGTGTTTAAATCTACAACACCTGTTTAAACATTCGCAGGTTAAAAAAAAAGAACGTTTAAATTTAAAAGAAAATTGTTCTATAATCAATTAATTAAAGACGGAACGGGTTCTAGAACTACCAAGAAATACAATAAAACCAAACAGAAACGTGGTAATAATTTAATTACTAAATTTTTCGGTTTAAATTACGTTAATAAGTTACGTATTTTAAATTTTAATGACGTTAACATCAAGAAAAAAAAACCATTATGACGTCACGTCTTGTGTAATTTAACACTAAAAAAAAGTATTTTATAATTAAAGGAATTGTCTCTTGTTCTAGGAATTTCAGTCAATATCGATCCTAGACTATTCTCGTACACGAAAAACATGATCGATGCAGTTTAAGAATAACGAATGCAGACGAGTATATTTATCTGTCTCCACCATTTATATATTTATATTACACATATTTCTAAATTTAAATTATTTTTAGGCTGACTTTCGTTCGTATTTAACAGAATTTATAAATAACTTTTTTTTTTTTTTTTAAATAATCCACGAGATTACGCTGTGTGTCTGTATTGTTCGTTAACAATTGGTGGTGTGAATTTGAAAATGGAGGTAACAAAAGGCTTTGTTCGTTTTACCGCCTTTTTATCCACATTCTCTCAAGGTCACGTCGTTTAACTAATATTATAATACGAAACCGTATTTCGAAATTAATAATTAAAAAAATATGTCTACTCGTTACCGTATCTGGAAACGAGAATGACTCATTTCGTTTCCTCCAATAATGAATCACATTTTTACATTTATCATCGACCCTTAAACCGTCGAAAACAATTGATAAATTACGCCGATCCGTATTTAAAACCGTAAAAATCTAACAAATTTCCGGCTTAATTAAAAATACGGTACGTAATTTATTCAATTATTACGAAAAGAAAAAAAAAAAAGATATTAAAAAATCGATATAAAATGAATTTATCATTTCACTCGCCGGTCACGTGACCGACGACTTCATTGTCCGTCGTCTGACGTTAGGAGGGGAAACGTTAACCAATAGCGTTTCGAGACGTGTATGCGCAATTTGCATTTCCATCCGCTATTGGTCGAGCTGGAACGAGAACCTTCCAGAACCTTCTTTCGTGTCGTCATTTCCGGCCTCCCCGATACATAACCCGCGAACAGTCTCGCGCCTTGCTTTTTACACTTCACTCAGGGAAGGTTGACTTGCGATTTATTCTCACTTATTTATCTTCCTTAGCCTACTAATTTATTCACTAAAGGTAAGTTAAGCTCTCTCTTATGTTTATAAGTAGATAAAATGAATCGTATTATCTAATTTAATTTTAAATTATTATTATTTTTATTATTTAGGAAAATGGCCAAGACTCCAGCTATCGGTATCGATTTGGGAACAACTTACTCCTGTGTAGGAGTATTCCAACATGGTAAAGTGGAGATTATTGCTAACGATCAAGGCAATCGTACCACTCCTAGTTATGTGGCATTTACCGATACCGAGAGGTTAATCGGTGATGCCGCGAAAAATCAAGTAGCAATGAATCCCAGTAACACCGTATTCGGTAAATTTCCCGTTTATAACTAGAAAAAAAACAAACTTCTCCCTCCCGAAATCAAAAATAACTTTGATTTTTCTTTTTTTTTTTTTTTTAGATGCTAAACGTCTTATCGGACGTCGCTTCGATGATACCACTGTACAGAGCGACATGAAGCATTGGCCGTTTCAAGTTATAAACGACAGCAGCAAACCTAAGATTCAGGTGGATTACAAAGGGGAGACAAAGACCTTCTTCCCGGAAGAGATTTCCTCTATGGTTCTAACAAAGATGAAGGAAATAGCCGAAGCTTATTTAGGGAAAACTGTTACTAATGCCGTAGTTACCGTTCCTGCATATTTCAATGATTCTCAGAGGCAGGCCACTAAAGATGCCGGCACCATTGCTGGATTGAATGTTCTCAGAATTATTAACGAACCTACTGCTGCTGCTATTGCTTACGGGCTCGATAAGAAGGTAAATTTTTGTTTTTTTATAATAAATCCAAAGCTTTTCTTTTTAGTAATTATCTTTGTTTTTCTATTAAATAGGGTACTGGTGAAAGGAACGTTCTTATTTTTGATTTGGGCGGAGGAACTTTCGATGTATCTTGTTTAACTATTGAAGATGGTATTTTTGAAGTTAAGTCTACTGCCGGAGATACTCACTTAGGTGGAGAAGACTTCGATAATCGCATGGTTAATCACTTCGTTCAGGAATTTAAACGTAAGCACAAAAAAGATCTTACTACAAATAAGAGAGCTTTGAGACGTTTGAGAACTGCCTGCGAAAGAGCAAAGAGAACTTTGTCTTCTAGTACTCAGGCCAGGTATGTAAAAAAAAAAAACATTTTTTCCCCCTTCCTAAACGTTTTCTTCCTCTTAATCTAATTGTTTTTTCTCTTATTCTAGTATTGAAATCGATTCGTTGTTTGAGGGTATCGATTTCTACTCAACTATCACAAGAGCAAGATTTGAAGAGTTGAATGCAGATCTGTTCCGTGGAACATTGGAACCGGTGGAAAAGGCCTTGAGAGATGCTAAGATGGACAAGAGTCAAATTCATGATATCGTACTTGTAGGAGGATCTACTCGTATACCAAAGATTCAGAAATTGCTTCAGGATTTCTTTAACGGAAAAGATTTGAACAAAAGTATTAATCCCGATGAAGCTGTGGCTTATGGTGCAGCAGTTCAGGTAATTATTCCTTCAAAAAGATTTTCTTAATTTAAAAAAAAAAAATAGGCAGGACCTAAAAATTTTGATTTTTCTTTTTATATAGGCAGCAATTTTGAATGGTGACAAATCGGAGCAAGTACAAGATCTGCTTCTTTTGGACGTCACTCCATTGTCACTTGGAATTGAAACTGCTGGAGGAGTAATGACCGTGTTGATCAAACGTAACACTACTATACCTACCAGGCAAACCCAAACATTTACAACCTACTCAGATAATCAACCCGGTGTATTGATTCAGGTATATGAAGGTGAAAGAGCAATGACCAAAGACAACAATTTATTGGGCAAGTTTGAACTAACTGGTATACCACCAGCACCTCGAGGTGTTCCTCAGATTGAAGTTACTTTTGATATCGATGCTAACGGTATTATGAATGTATCGGCAGTCGATAAGAGTACCGGAAAGGAAAATAAAATTACTATAACTAATGATAAAGGTCGCCTTTCCAAAGAAGAGATCGAAAAGATGGTGAAAGATGCAGAGAAGTATCGCGAAGAAGACGACAAGCAAAAGGAGAGAGTATCTGCCAAAAATTCTCTGGAAAGTTATGCTTTCAATATTAAGTCTACCATAGATGATGAAAAGTTGAAAGATAAGATTTCTGAAGATGACAAGAAGAAAGTCCTGGATAAAGTAGAAGAAACCATAAAATGGTTGGATGTTAATCAGGTATTTATCTAATTTTGATCTCTGTAGGTGGGTGGAGTTTTAGAACTATGGTGTTTTACTTAAATTTTATTTTTAATAGTTGGCAGAGAAAGAGGAATTTGAACACAAGCAAAAGGAACTGGAAGGAATTTGTAACCCAATCATAACCAAATTGTATCAAGCAGGTGGAATGCCTGGAGGTATGCCAGGTGGTATGCCTGGAGCACCACCCGGTGCAGCGGGAGCAGGAACTGGTGGATCTGGACCAACAATCGAAGAAGTCGACTAAATTTATTGCTACATTCCATGTATTTAAGAACGTTAGAGAATAAATCGAAATTGGCATAAGTTTTTTTGTCATATTTTTAGCTAGAATTTTTGTACTTAACCAGAGAATTTGATACGTTTCCAGTAATGAGAAAAAGGTGGAAGTTGACTGCCAGAAAATGTCTAGTCTTAAATTACTGCTTCTAATTAACTTTTACAATATTTAATTAAAATCTAAATATTAATAATTCTTTCGATATACGAAGATAAACGCGAACATACTGATTTGTGCACAGTAGGATCAGTGTTGGAATTTATCCATGTAAGGTTAGATAAAAGCAATCCTGATAATTCATATCTAACTGAAGTACGGGTATACGTTAAAATGCGGCATTTTGTGAATTTGCATTTGTGGAGGAATTGTAAATAAAATGAGCGAAGTTTAACTTAGTTTTTCGTGTGTTTTTTCCGGTAACGTACTGTACAGTACAAGTAATTTGAGGCTCGATGTGATGCCACGGTCTGGACTGCGTTGATTTTTATATCATTACAAAAGCTTAATTTTGATGGTAGAGGTGAGTTTTTAATAATGTAAATACCAATAACGAGTAAAATTTTAGTCTAACACCACTCGACGTCTGACGTGACTAATATCTCCCCACTCCAGTTCCGTAGCCAAAATTTAAATAGCGTCAACCCTTACAAGTTACCGGACCAAATTTCGTTTCCTAATTTTTTCCCTCGTGCTGAGATGTTTAACGAATAACACGCATTGCGGGAATTTTCCCCCGTTTTTTTATTTAAGAGTAGGGGAGACCGGAGATAGTAGTCACAGTGCAAATATCTCCTATCTAATCAAAACTGAATGGTCACGTTATCTAGAAGTAGTCATTTACCGCTAGCTATCCGTTGCATCGTTTTTCGTTAATTAGCGGTTAAAAGATTTACAGCAAGTCGCGTAAATTTTGATGCATCGCGTCTTGTAGCGTTTGAAAACTTAGTTGTTCACCTTTTTACTAATTGCATTTCCTATTAAACTGGTCCTTAATGTATTCAAAATAGAAATATGAACCGATTTGTTAAGGAAAGTTCATTTGGGGCAACTTGTCACTAAGACTGACTCATCAGAAGAGAAAGAAAAAAGATCTGTTTGGTTTGTGGTGACAGTTTAATCTCACGAGCTCTGTACAGTACAGATGTAAATCCATATTATGTTTGTCACACTGACTCTAAAGACAATAAGATTCCAGTTACTTGTCTTTCGTAGAATAAATAAAAGTAAATTAGTAATCTAATTTACTCGTGCCAATTCTATAAAGAAAAGTCGTATTACTCATAATTTAACATAACCAAAATAAACTTTGGAAATGTCAGAAAGACTACACATGCCCTATGACTAACCCCCTTGCCCTGTGACTCTAGGGGTATGTTGTCACAGGGTAACCGTTTCTAAAATAATAACTGGCAAAAAATAATCGAATGCTCATATATTTATTATAAACCAAATCAAAAGATATGTAGCTGTATACATTTTCACTTAAACCTAAATAAATTGATATTATAGACCCTAAAACTAGAAATGACAAACCTGTGACAACTAGCCCCGGTCTCCCCTATGCCCTTACGGCTTTGTTAAGGTCCCAAACGTATCATTCGGAGCTTGAATTGAGCCGGAAGTTTCCAGTAGTGACAGATGAAGATATTCAGGTTACACGCATTTATTGTTCCAGCAAATATTGTGAGTCAAAGAATGGAGAGGGCTGGATTTAACTTATGTATATCACTTCCAGTGATGTACGAAAGTCACTTTTTACAAAGTAACTAAATATATAAAAAATCTAGTTACATTTCTTTACTGTTTGCAGTGGTCTCCCACGTCCCAATAGTAAGGGGCACGGGGGGGGGAATCTGCCAGTAAAAATTATTTTTGTAACATTCACACAAATTAAGCGTTAAAATACGAATTCTTTTTTAATAAGAGTAAACTTAAGCAAATAAATTTTCTTTATCTTCCGACACTCTCACACGAGCATCGCGAGCCCACTTTGCAATTTGGTACCCTGGTCACAAAATCCGCAGCTGAGATTTCTATCAGGACTGTCAAGAGGGAGATGGGGTTACTTCCCTCTAGGTTCGGAAAAAAACTTGAGAGCTACTAGTTACTATCTCTGTAAATTAATGTTATTTTTACTAACAAAATATAAAATCTTTAAGCATGCATTTTATTAATTTTTTTTTTGGTGTTTTTGCCCTGGGGATACTAGGAGGGGTTTTTTATGGGTTCGGCCCACAATGAGGCGACGGGGCCCGGCATATCCGAACGGACCACCCTCCGTAAAATCCCTGGTGTTTCCTTGATCCGTCCGGATTCGATCCCGCGTCCCCCAGAGTGGTAGGCTGCCACCTTGACCGCTCGGCCATTTAAAGGTAGGTAAATTTATCGAGTTGTGGCAAGTAAAGAAGGGCACCCATGGACCAAATGGGAAGACAATAATCCAGGAGGGATTGAAAACTGGCAAAAAATATGGACCGTAGAACAGGTTTAGAGGATAGGCTATGGTTTTACAAAAATGCCATAATATCCAGCAACGGATGGCCAATTATTTTATTTTCTTGTCTACGTGGCTTTTAAAGGTTAATTTAGTATCGAAAATAATTCCCAGATCGTTGTATGTGTTGGCATATTGCAATGCATAAGTGTTTATAAAAAGGGGTGTTAGGGGTGAATTCCCGAGTAAAGAAAAACGCATTATTACAGATTTTTGTACATTAATTCTATGGTTAATTTTACTAAAGACAGAGGATAAGTGGTGAAGATTGAATTCGAAAGTAGTAGGATCAATCACGATTTAACAACTTTATAGGCGATAACGGAAGAATTTAAGTTAATAAACAACTTGTTGATATATGCAGAAAGGAAAAGCCGCTTAGGATCGATCCTTGTTGAAATACCTGTTAAAGGCGGAAAATAGAGAAAAGTAAAATCTCCTACTTTGATCTTGTATAGATAGACAAGCTAAAAATAGTTGTTCAGCTAGGAGTGAAGAGCTGAGTTAATATCGAAATAGTCACGGAGCGTATCTAAAAGTATATTTGGGAGTATGGAGTCGAAGGCTTTACTTATGTCGATGTAAGCTACGTAAGTCGAATGTTTTTTTTTTTTTTTCTGATAGGTATAGTTGTGTGGCATAAGTGTAAAATAATTTGCCTCGGTTGTAATTTGGAAAAATTTCGCTTTAATAGATTTATAGACATCGAATATCATGTCATCAGAAAAGGAATTTGATTTATTTTGAGTTCTTTTAGAAAATTTAAGGATAAATCTCCAAAACGTGCGGGGTCGGAAGTAAAAGTGTTCACGATATTATTAGTTTTGAAATGATGTGTTACATTCTTTGTAGTATTGTTTTTGTAAGATACGATGAATATAGAGGTCGCGTGAAATCCCATTGCCTTTCCACTTTATCCGTTGCTTTCTAGTGATATTTCTTATTTTTTTTTTAATTGTGAGAGAAGCATTTGTACGAGGAAGTATCAACCTTTCGATATTGTAAAAACTTAATGATAGTAGAATAAAAAAAACATGTTAAATCAATAATGGTTTGAGGAGGTAATATAGGAGATTCCAGGAAAGTTCAGTTAACAGATCAAATGTGTTTAGCTGCTTGTTTAAAATTAAAATGATGCCATAAAGGCAGTGGCGTAGCGTGGGTGTCAGCCGCCCGGGGCGGAGGAAAATTTCGCCGTCCCCTTATTTAGGTATCTCAATTTAAAAGACTAAAATTCAGTTTCGTCACAGAATAAGTAATGAAAAATCCCGTGCTAGTGTTGCCACCTTTTTAAAATCGCCGACCCTGACGGCGGGTGAGGTTTGTTCGAACAGAAATTCATGACGCATGCGTATATCATTTTGCAATGAATAATTTGCAGTGCATGCTGGTTCTAAATCAGTTAAAGTTAGCGACTAGGGAGACTCGGGTAGGAGTAACGTAAGTAATCTAGATGACTTAGCCCTATTGGATATTGGAGATGTATATGAGTACGAATGAATCGTACAATATCTCCGGACGGCGAGTCGGATGGTAACACTATTCCCACTATTCCGTGCTCATTTCAATCGTAGGTGGACAAAAATATGAAAAAAAGGTTCAAATTCTTACAAGATATTATTATTTATTGTCAAATTTTGCCGCCCCCTAAAAAGTGCCGCCCGGGGCTCCCCCTACACTACGCTACTGCATAAAAGGATTCTCGTAAACCGCTGAGTATTTGATGTTAAATCAATTTAAAACGTCAAGAAAGATTGCACAGGGATCAGAAGTAAACCCTTCTGTCGGGTAAGCGTTGAGGTTACAATTTATCGAAAAGGCCATATCTAAAAAAGTATTATGGCGTGTTGAAAAATGAATACTTTCAATAAAAATAATTAAAGTTTTTCCAGCGATCTAATGATGAGATAGTTGGCCCGATGGATGACCAAAAAATATTACATGTATTAAAATTTCCACATAGAATTCATTTAAACTGTGAAGCATAATCTATTATTTTTAGGAAGCGGTGTATTATTTGAAATACACGTAATCTTTTAATTTACAGTTTATTAAAATAAAGTTGATTTGTAAAATAAAGAACTTTCATATCAGATATTGTATATCACATATTATAAAGATCGAACTATTAATATTAATTTAAGTATACTGAAGTTTTTATTTAAATTTTAAACAATTTGGACTGTTTTATGAACGAAAATATCATCCGAATATAAAATCAAAATTTTACTTACATAGATAATTGTTAATATTTCATTTACCTCACATAAATAGCTACTGTCGGTTGCTTTACAGTTTTCTCTTCCCACTTGTTTGCCAAAGTTTAGGACGTTCAGGATCTTTCGGAGAAACTATCATTTGTGTAGCCGAAAGCAGCATATCAAGTCATTAAGAATCTACAGCTTGCAAACATACAATAAGTAGAGATAAAACGAACTTCTTGTGTAAAAAAGTTTGTTTTCAATGTAGCTAATAATGGTCAGTATAACACGCGGTATAATGTGGGGTACAGTATGTTCGTAAAGTCGAACG